TCATCCTTGCTACTCACATACACCCCCGTGTGGGCAAATCCTGTGTCGTTCCCTCCTCCTCCACGTTTTCTACAGTACATCAGCGAGAACAGAAATGTCTTGCTGTCCCATCGTGCCATGTTCCGAGGCATCCTCTTTGACAACGAAAAAAAATTAAATAGCGATCATCGCTCACTTTGTGCTTCATTTCTTCAGGCTGGTGGTGAGACTCATAGGTTTTATATATTTTATTGACTTGCACAACATGACCAAATTAGATAGAGGAGTATGAGAAAGGAGGTCTTGCCTGTAAGCACTGCAGTTATGCTTTAAACAGAAAAAAATGAGAAGTAAACCTTAAAGAGACACTGATATCAAAATTCCCTAGAGAAGAAAGAAAATTATTTTCAAAGGTGGATTACTAACACACAGTCTCATTTGGTGAAGGAAACTATTTCATGGCAGGGCAGGCTTGTGCATTTTAATTGTGAGCATGATGGTCTTTCCATACTGCACCATGCCATACCCATAACCATTATCATGCCATACCATACGGCACCACAGCACACCATATATTCTTTGTTCACTCAGAGAAAAACTGTTTGAATAATAGCAAAAGCTGTAATGGGGTTGACTGCAGTTCCCATTTTTACAGCTCTTCAGCCTTTTATCAGTTTCTAAAGCTTTCATACTTTGCTATGGAACTTCATTTCTCTCAATCATCAATTTCTTTTTACTGACTCAGACTTTAGACTATGGAATGTGTAGAAAGGTGTTTCCATTGCAACAAAATCATTGCAGTCTTCTTTTAGGGATTCAAGAATTGTTTAGAATTGGTAGTGAAGTATCTTGCAGTGGAAAACGTGATCCCTAACCAGATAATAAATTCTCACAGAATTCTGTGTTTCAGCTGTCCTTATCCTAACTCAGAATATTTGCTATACCGCCTTTTTCTTTGCACAGTAATAATCAGAGAAACCTTATCCTAACTCAGGATATTTGCTATTCCATGTTTTTATTTGCACAGTAATAATCAGAGCAATTAAGCCAGCTGTTTCCGAGGAGAAAATAACTGACCTTGATACTAATCATCCCAGTGTAACAGAATATCTCAGTCAGCTGCGTGGTTAAGTGAGGTATCATGGGCACTGCGGGAGGTTAGAAGTCTTCAGGACGAACACACTCAGCTGAACATCAGAGGGAGATAGGAAAGGGCAGCAGGTGGCAAGAATATCTGTCCTGAAGGACAGGGGAGATTCTACAGACTAAAATGGACTCATTTGTCCATTTGAGTAAATTCTTATATGACTGGGTAAAAGGGCTTTGCCAACTTCAGATAAATCAAACCCACAAATTGAAGAAATAACTTAAAATAATGTAGCAGTATTAGTGTTGAAGGGGTATGCATTCACATTATGCTTTCTGTTCTGTACAAAGATCCGCATATGCTCAGCTTTACATGACCATCTTCCACTGTTTATTTCCTACTGTTATGGAACAAAATTTAACTGTGTTTCTCTACTGGGTTTTTTTTGTTATTGTTACTATTTTGTTTAGATTTTGTTGTTGGGGGGGAGGTTTGGTTGTGGGATTTGTTTGTTTGTCTGTTTGTTTGTTTTGGGGGTCCAGGTGGGTTGGTTGTTTGTTTTTAATTGTGAACAAACTTGCAGATTCCATATGGCTTAACTTGAAGAAAAAGGAGATAATTTTTCTGGTTGGATTTCCCATTCTTGTTCATAGCAGGACCACACAATTTCATAGCAGCAGAACTGAGCCACAGGTACCCTTGTGGGCAGCAAAATGTGGAGGGAACTGGGACTGCTTCGGCTGGCAATGGAGGGTTTATTCTGTTTGTCGTTTGCCTGTCACCCTAAACATGGAGGAGTAGGGATCTTAGCCAGAAAAATCATGGGATGCAGAGCTGGCATATGAGAACATCAACCCTGTCTCTGCACGCCCCACTCTTTTGTTTCATTTGTACAGATCAGAGCATACACAATCATGATCTCCTGGAGAATCTTTGGAACTCCACAGGTCTCTCTCTCTGAGCCCATAAACACACTTTCCATGATGAAAAGGTCCTCATAATGCCCTGAGTAACATTACAAAAGCACCTTATAGTGGTGCTTTGAGAAGCCTTCTTTAAGCCTCCTCATATTTTTGCCTCTACCCAACATGATGCACCACTAAAGGCTGCAAAAATCTGTGTTTGCGTGTGTAAAGTAGGTTACTGCCCATTGTGAGAGCATTAGTGCCATGTTGTGGATGCACATGCAGAGCAATGGTGGTCACAGATAGTAAGGAGTAGCTGACAATGATACAAACTGGGACTGATGTGGCTGTACTTTGAAATGCTTAATCAGATCACACTTAACCAGATATGCTTAACCAGAACATGGTTAACTAGGTCAAAGTTAATCTCCTATAGGGCAGCTTAAAAAAAGACTTTAAGATGGCAGATTTTTCCTTCTTCCTCTATTCTGAATGAACGCTGAGATCAGTTAAGGATACTCAAATACCCTGGGCTTTTCCAGGAAACATTGGAGTATGGTGTATAGGCAAAAGAGATAAAAAGGAGAACTTCAGAGCACACACAGTTGGCTAATGCTGGTGCAACGTGTGAAAACAATACGTGGCCACAAGCAAGAGGATACAGATCAGCTGAGTCATCAGTAAAGCAAGATTTCAATCATTCTTTTTATTAAATAAATGCAATTCTGATTAAATAGAACCTTAATTTTAGGAGTTTCTCTAAAGGGAAACAGGTAGAACAGTCAGAACAGATGCAAATGCTTTATAAGTTAACTAGTCTCCTGCCTGTACTTAAAGCACTGCTCAAAACAAATCCTGAAAAGAAACACTAAAATGAATCCTGCTGAACTAGTAATAAATTAAATGTGCTAGTAGATACTTACTGTAACTTACTCATGAAAGTTTTTTCCCCTTTTGGGAACAGACACAAGACTTTACAATATGCAGTTCAAGTCTTTAACATTTTCATCCTTGTGAACTGAAAATGTAATCTTGCTGTGTTAAACAGCCTGTTAGGCTATGGTAGCAAATAAATGCCTATAGAAGATGCTCTGAAGGTAGCTGCTTGGCTGTATAAAACATTGATGGAAGAAATTCATTGCCTTTTGCAAATTCCAATTCTAAAAAAATCTGCAATCTTCTATAATTCAGTTAAAAGTCCTGATATCGAACTAATAAGTGTTGTGCCAGGCACTTGATATCTTAATTTCCTGATGCAGAATCGTCTCTGCCAGAATCACTGTAGAGGGTCTGATGTGGCTCACTAAAAACACAGGTACCATCTCTGGAGTGGCCATTGTAGTGCTGAAGGAACGTAACAGACTTCAACTGTCTCCAGAGTAGCTGGAAGCTTGTACTATACATTCACTGTGACTGGTTTAATGTCTCTTAAATTAGTAGAAATGTTTTCAATTAAATGAGCTCATGTAAGTTTATACCATGAGGAAAAAAATCTCTTGGATGGAAATTAGGTAACTGAAGTTACCTTGCTTCCTTCCTCGAAATAAGTACACTCCAGAGACAGTTCATTCAATAGCAAGATAAGATGAAGGTTTCTGTGGGAACAACTGTGTCCAAAATACAGACAAAACCTACTATTCCACAAAGACATACTCCTAAACAGTGGGGGACAGGCAGTAAAGGTTTTCCTGTAAGAGTTAATGGAACTGAGCCAGGGGAAGCATGTAAACATGGATGTTACACACCACTCAAATATGAAGGACAGGGCCAATGACACAGGGGGCTGTAAGCAGAGCACCAAGTTTGTTGGGATTGTCATCTGGAGGACACATGGTGTGTTCAGAGCCAATTGCTGGCCTGAAAGATCTCCTCACTGTCTTGAGGACAATCAGGGCCCAGCTGACAGTGCTCACCAGGACCTTGCCACCTCCTTCTCCACAGCTGCATCTCCTCATCACCTTCCTCAGGTGAACCCAGCTCAGCCACAGGTGAAGGCTGGGAAGTGAGAAGCAGCTGGCAGACGGAGGCTCCAGCAGAGACGGGTCTGCCGTGGCAGCCAGGGAGACTTTGCTAAAACACAACACAGATACTCAGGCAGCAGTTGCCTGAGTTTGCGTAAGTGAAAAGGCTGATGGGCAAAATACCTGGTCCCACGGAGTTAAAGAAGTAGCTCTTGAAAGAGAAGGGCTACCACGTTCTCCTGTGAGTAGCTGGCTGGTCAGGGGCCAGCTCTGCTCCAGGATGAATGCTGTACCGTCAGAGGGAAGGGCAGTTTGGGGAGTGGGGGGATCCTCCACTGCAGAACTGTGAGTTTCTGCTTTGTAGAGAGGCAGAGCTTATCCACTTCTTTACTGTATTGACAGCAGCCAGCAGTATGTGTGCATTACTGCACCATCAGTTCAGATATTTGGTCTCCTCCAGAGGACTCTGATTTCCAGTGCTGGATCTTTCCCTCCTATTCCATGTACAGCCTTTACTTCTATGTCCTCGCGTATGCCAGTGCTTCTGCTATCCTTCAGCTGTCAGAACTGTGCAGGCAGTGTTCTGGGATCACCAGGTAGGTCAGCAGTCAGGGACAGAGCAATGACCAACTCAGACACCAGGATAGAGGTGGGAAGCAGACATTGCTCAGTGGAGACCGAAACCTTTGGGGGCAGCCCCCCAGGTCTGGCAGCACTGGCAGCAGGGCAGGGGCAGCAGTTAGGGCTGGGCAGCAGGCACACAGACATTGAAGGGAGCTGGCCATGCTGGTGGCTCAGCTGAGCAGAGCTGGCTGCCTGGCAGGGATGAACATGCTGCTGAGCACAGCCTGGTGTGGACGCTGGACTGGGAACAGTCACACAGCCTGGCACTGCTGCCCCCTCTGACTGGGGCAGCCCTTGGCTCCCATGCTACCATGTTGCCCAGTGTGCTGTAAGCCACCCCCTCCATCCCTCCCTCCCTCCCTCAATAGCCCCAGCCCATTGTGCCTGGTGAGAAAGGAACCTATCTTATTGTTTTTCAAGATCCCCGAGACTGCAAGGTAGAGGTGAATTTGACAGGTTTTTTCTTTATTACCAGAATTCAACTGCCTTACTAAGTATCTGAAGGGAGGGTGCCAAGAGCATGGAGCCAGGCTCTGCTTGGTGGTGCCAAGCAATACAAGAGGCAACAGGCAGAAACTGATACACAGGAAGTTCTGCCTGAATATGAGGAAGAACTTCCTTACTTTGCAGGTGACCATGCACTAGAAGAGATTGCCCAGAGAGGTTGTGGACTCCCCCTCACTGGAGATACACAAGAATCATCTGGACACAATCCTGTGCCATGTGCTCTGGGATGACCCTACTTGAATAGGGAGGTTGGACCAGATGACTCCACCAGTGGTCCCTTCCAACCTGACCCATTCTGTGACTCTTTGAACTGTGATGAAAGCAATACAGATGTGACCTTCACAATACAGGTCACAGCAATTTTAGACAGGCACATGCTTTAAAAACTTGTAAACTATTGTGCTGCCAAGTGGATTAAAAAATAAATCCTAAGTCTTGCAAGCTTCTCAGCTTGCTTAGAAGAGAAAATGTTCCAAATTCTGGGCAGTTCTTCAGGCGACAACGAATAAACAGCTTAAGAGGCTGGTCCATCTGGCTTTTCAGATGCTGTCACGTGAAGTTGCAGTCCATGTGTGCACTTGTGAACTTACAGAGTGGCAACATTCATGCTTTTCCTACGGAGCTTCAATCTTTACCAGCCAAATAAAGGAAGGGGAAGTGGCTGCCTCCAGTGATGTAGTGGGCATAGGGGAAGAGAGAAAGCACACGAGTGTGAGCGTGTGCAAATGCACCTCCACACAAAAAGAAAACTTGCTTATCATTCAGTATGTCTGTGCAGCCTAACTGAGTGCAATAGAACTCATGTAGGTAATAAACCTGGGAAAGAAAAAAAATTCGGGATGCCAATTTACCAGGTATAATTAAGGCACTGCAAAACTGACCATATTGCTTCCACTAAGCACTTCTAGCACAGATCTGCAGGGTGACATTTGCTCTCCCCACCTCTTTCACAGGAAATGTGTACAAGCAACTATGCAGGAAAAAACTCACTTCAGATCACTTACATTGATCCAGAGGAGCAGAAGTAAAGAAAACATCTGCAACCTAAGAAGTGTATTCTTGAGAAGCAATTAGTTTAATCACAAACACTTTCTTCCCTTAATCAGATGGAGTTACCTCTCCTACAAAAACCTCACATTTTATCCGTATTTCTTATATTGCATCAGAGAAAAATGAGGACTACAAATTAAAACAGTATTGCAGTTATATATGAAAGGCCACTGTTCTTCTAGCAAGGGCTTCCCCTTACAGTTTAGAGTTCAGTTGTGTAAGCAACTTCTCGAGCTTCATTGCTAGTGCCATATTTCCTTTAATCCTTAATTTTCCTGACATGAAGGCCATAGTTGGCTTTAGTTTACCTAAAAAGAAGAAATAGAACCATCAGAAAATTAAAGGAATGGGAGACAGCCTGTGCACAAGAAAATATAATGCCACAACAGCGAGACCTAGCAATTATATTGCTACCAAGTCCTCCTGTAAAAGCAGTGCACATTTAGGAAACACTGCTTAGAGCTGGGCAGAACACAAATACAACACATTGACTGGATTCTTTCTGAAGCTACGCTGGCTGCTAAAATGTCAATAGCTGGTTAACAAAAGAAGAGTAAGCTTTTGTTCTCTTCCTGTTCACAAAACACAGGAGTCCAGAAAAATGCAAGCACTTCTGGCCTGTACTTTCTCCTGAGCCACAAAAAGCTGAAAGCTCCTCCATCCCAGATCAGAAAGCGAGATGCCAGTCTCCTCCCCCATCAGCAGAAGGTTTTCTGGGCACCGGTCTGACAAAGGCCTTTGTCCCTCACCTGTGAACATTTTCACAAAGTCAGCACTCGACATGCTCATAACCACATCAGCTGTCCCAGGGGGCTTTCCAAAGCCAGTGCTCCCACCCTTGTTCTTCAGGTCGATATACCACGTGCCTCCACCGTCACCTGCACAGAGAATGAAGAGAGGTGACGAGGCAGCAAAGGCAGCAAAGGCGCTCTGCCCTCCTCCCCTTTGGGGGCAGCCAAAGCCAACCCCTGGCAGGTGACCCCAGCCCCACGTGCCCATGTGGGGACACGGGCAGGAGAGCCCAAAGGCTGCCCTTCGCTCACAGATCGGAGGCAGCGGGTGTTTCAAGGAGACCCTGGGAGCACCCCTGCCTGTCCTCACGCCAACCCTGTGAGGGAGGGCAGCGACAAAGTGACAAAGGCTCCGCCTACGGCGGGAGTGGCAGCAGCTCCCTGTGCCTGCTCGAGGTCCTGAGAAGGAGCATCACAGCAGAACAGGAGAGGAGCTGCTCTGTTTCGGCATCCGCTTGAAAAGGTGAGTGCTTCTGTTTGAAATCACTGAGTGCCTTTTGCTAGGGAAGGTTTCACATTTGATGCTCTTACCAGATAATTCAAACTGAAAGACACCCTGAGTACTTCTCACGTTCTCTTCCGTCATGGCCCCCTGAATAACTCTGAATGTTTCTGCAACAGGCCCGGATGGCTTGGCTGGAGCAGATTCTGTCTTCTCCTCTTTCAATGCTTGGGCAGCACCTACAAGAGAGATTATTTTTCTCTTTCAAACGAAAACCACTTTAAAAATGAATGGAGAAATATGCATTGAGAGCTCCATTTGAAAAGATTTAAGCTTCAAAGTAGAGTAAATGATTATGTTCCCATTTTAGTATTTACACCCATAAAGGATGCTTTCTGCACCTAGGATCTGAATAGGTGTAGAGCATTACAGGTAATTCTGAAATATATTTCACTTCCTAATATGTCAAAAGAAAAGTGGAAATAAAACGACAGCAAAATTCTTACTGTTCTCAGTTCATTACAAATGCTTACACAGCAGTTTTTTAATGTAATCCATATACTCCTGACAACACTAAAAAAAAAAACAGCGTCTTTACTAGCCATCACTTTCATCTCAAAATACTTCTGTCTTGTTTATCTTGTAAAAAACATGTATATTTTCATGAATTCTTCTGCAAAGGCTTCTAAGCCTCAATTTGCTGCTTTGATCAGCATTCTATTGTATGACAGCATTTGCAATTTACAAAGTCAGTCAAGCTGAACAGCCTCTAAAAATGTTGTTGAAAGTCTCCTAGGTGTCTTCAATACCAAAAACCAGTTAGGTCTGTTCTGTGAGTCCCAGTATCATGAGGCCCAGGGATCTAACACCATCCATCTCTGGCAGAACAATCCTCCTAGTTCAACAGCTCAAACAGTATTTCCAACAGAAAGGAACTGTTCAAACTTTGCCTTCTCTGCCCTTCTCTTATCCCTATTTCAACACTCCTATGAAACCTGTTCAGCATTCTTAGTTGCCCTCTAACTTGACACACTACAGTTCTGAAAAAGCGAAACCAAAGCTTTTCTAAAAAAGACTTCTGCATTTCATCTAAGACTTATTTTAATTGTGTAAATTGTGCATGTTTCATCTAAGAAGCCATGGAGGATTTATGTAATGTTCTTTTGTATAAATTTAACAAGGCAAAGGAGATATTCCTGCAAAATGTGCCGTTTGCTATTTAATTTCCAGTGATATTTACATGTGACCTTCTTACTACCACATTCAGATGTTTAAAAAAGGATTTTTCAAAATAATGCACTGACTTCATACCACAAAAGTCCTGAAGGAGGTAGGATTTTTTTCTCTAGTTTTTAGTGCAGAGTTACTTCCATAAATATTACCCTCCAAATAAGAAAAGGGTTTCTGCTAAATACCTTGAGTGAAGTCCAAACTCTTAGGAGAAAAAAGAAAAACAACTTGAAATAGAGAGAGCACTCATTATTGTCAGAAATTATGGACTTGTACACACAGTGCTTTCCCTACCATATCCTTTTTGTTTCACAGCTGTAGTGTCAATCTCAACATCCAAGAAGAAGTCAGGTATCAGAGGGTGACCTAAGAGGAAGGAAAAATGTAATAATAAATCCAAGTAAAGTTGGACAGAAGGAATCAATTTCATATGAAATTACACCCAAGTCTATAAGTAAATAAACTACAACTTGAAGGAAAAAACATAGCATGAAATAACATGTTTAGAGTTTTGTTCCTTTAAAATCTGACCTGGAGGGCTTTTAAAGTTGCAATGAAGAACATTTGAAGAAGGAAAAAAATAAAAATCTATCTCACTAGCTGTTAAATACTAATACATACATCTGCAATGCAGGTAGATTTTTTTTTTCATTAAAGAATTTCTTAATATAATTTAATAGGCATTTGATTATTAGACTCCCAGTGGACGCATATGTGCTTTCCGGGAAGGCATGTCCTCAAAGCTGAGGCAAAGCAACTTTTTTACAGACTAATGTAAGAGCCCCTGGAAAGAAAACTATATTAATATTCTCCATATGTCCTTCCCTCCTTCCTGAACTTACTTCTCATCTTAAAGGTCTCTTTTACCTGGTGCAATTGCATAGACATCAAAATCCTTAACTCCCTCTTCTCGCAGCAAAACTTCATCAATAATGAAATTTCCAGTGAAACTTTTTGGTTTTGTTAAAATGCAGTACGCAGCATCTGCCAGGATATCTGTTTTCCTGCACTGTTTTTCTATTCCAGCTCCTCCCAGCATATCCATAGCAGCTGTATGTATGGCTAGAAAGTTTAAACAGTAAGGAAACAAAGCTTAATCATTGATGACGTGGAATTCCCATTTCTCTCGCAAGTATACAAACTTAATTTTCTTTTCATGCAAAAGGAAACTGTAGGAAGACAAAAGCTATGAAATACTCCCAACCAACAAATAACTCTTTACAAGCAACAGTGAAAACTAGGAAACTACTAAAGGAATCAAAAAGGGCAGAATGTTTTATGACATTCACATCCCCCTATCTATTTATCAGTGGTCACCCCACCCCGCCCCCTCTGGATTTCGAGGGTTATTCAGGTCATGAAAAACTAACAGGATAACTATTTTCCTCAAAGTGAATGTGTGATACCTGAGTCATTAAGAGGTATTCCCTACGATGATTATTACACTGAAAATCTCGATGATTAATTTTAGCCTTTTGATAACTCCCATGAGAAAGACATTAAGCTCTTAGCGTCCAAAGCAGGGCAACGAGGATGGTGAAGGGCAGCTGAGGTCACCTGGTCTGTTCAGCCTGGAGAAGAGGAGACTGAGGGGAGACCTCATTGCAGTCTACAACATCCTTGTGAGGGGAAGAGGAGGGGCAGGCACTGATCTCTTCTCTGTGGTGACCAGTGACAGGACCCGAGGGAATGTCAGGGGAGGTTAGGTTGGATGTTAGAAAAGGCTTCTTCACTCAGAGGGTGGTTGAACACTGGAACAGGATTCCCAGGGGCAAGCACCATAGCACCAAGCCTGACAGAGTTCAAGATACTCTCAGGCACATGGTGTGATTCTTGGGGATGGTCCTGTGCACAGTTAAGAGTTGGACTTGATGATCCTTGTGAGTCCCTTCCAACTCAGCACATTATGTGATTCTGTGATACTAAAGGATTTCTCCAAAGTTAATGAGAAACCAAATAGCAAAACCTCAAACAACTTGTTCAAGATTTCACAGAAAGGCTGTGTTAGACCCAAGAATAAAATTCACATCTCCTAAGCTTCTGGTTCTTATATTAACCAATTCTGCTACTTCTGCACCATTCCATTAATTTTGTTTATGCCTCCCCCATGGGAGCTATTAACACTATGCCATGTTGCAGTCCAAGTCTGTGATTTGCTCTTCCAGGCTGAGGTATCCATTCCATTTTTCTTTCATCCTATTCCACAGAAAGGATGTGGTGTTGTAGTGTTCTACACTTGCCATGTTACTTTTTTCCCTCACACAGTTCTGCTTTTTTCCATCTGCTTTTTAAGACTCAACACTCTACCCTCAAGTTTTGGGACAGACTTGCAAATCCTTTCCTACATCTGGGACAGAAGAGCATGGAAGCAGAACAATAAACTTGATTTTACATCACTTTTTTCCTCCTTTCGGTGCCTCCATTCCACACAAAGGAAGAGCAATTTTGATGCAGAAATGATCCCAACATTTCTTAATGAGCAAAAAATAGGCACTGTGTAGGACATATCTATCTGAGCTGGATCATTCACCTTCCAAAGCAGGAACTGGGAAAACAGAAAAAAGTCTTCAGTGCTGGCCAGAGAACTCCTGTCCAAGTGTTTTCTAGGAAAGTGCAAAGGTATGTAGATGTTCTTGTTGACTCCCTTATTTTACTCTTCTGTCAGGATTAGTCCCTAGGTTTCATTTACCTTTAACCAACCTCAGCCTCTCTTTTTTTAAAATCAAGTGAACACATTTAAATAAAAAGTGACAAATAGATATACTGTACATATATGTAGGTATCCCTAAGTCTTTTTCTCATCTTTAAGAACAGAAAATAAATTTGCCTTTCTTTAGTCCTTTGAAATGCTATCTGCCCTGCACGACTTTTTTTTTTTTTTTTAATAACTACCAACAGCTCAGAGGATATTTCTGTCAAATACTCTGATGAAATTTACTGGCTTCTGTTGACCCAAATATATTCCATTATTCTGACAATTCATTAAGCCACTCACTCCTGGCCCACATTTCTACCACTTCTCTGTTAGTATCAACTATTATTCTTCTGAGCAGAGTCAGCCTATTGCATAGACTAAAGCAAAAAGGTCTCAAACAGTAGTCTGACTGCACAGTTATATTCATTTCACATAAAGTGATGCTGGTTTTCCTCTAATGCACATGAAGAGATTTCCAGTTTTGTCACAGGACACCTCTATTATTCCTCTGCGCTGTTTGTGATGGGATTGCCCTTCTGAAAGGCGTTCTCTTTCACTTTTAGATAAATGAAGAGCTCTTGGCATCTTATTACCAGCATATTGTCACATGTAAATGAACAGATCCAGGCATCCATACTAACACTGAGGTAAAACACATTTGTATGAAATTATAGTGGACTTCTAAACTAAGTACTTTGCAACTTATTTTAGATATGGTGGAAGTCTGTAACATATCTCTCTGGATGACTACAAGAAAGTAGTTAACTTTCTCACTTTTGGAAGAGAAACCTCTCAAAAGAGTATTTTTAGTACTAGAGAATTCACACATTATCCTCCTTTATACTTGAGGACACACTGGTTTTCCTGGAGGCATCACTGATTTATACAAACTTTGAGAGCTCATCCAATGTTTCTAACAGCCTTAAGATGAATGAGCAAGAATGGATTCATCAAATAAAAAGCTCTTTTGCATACCTTGAATTCTACAGAAAGCCTAATTACTTTTTTAAATACTTTGCAGCATTTCCCAGAGAGAAATCTTCATTTAGAAAAGCATTTATTAGAATAGATAACGTTTTCATTTGTAAATTGAATCTTCCTGCACTTCCAAGCCTCATGTACTACAGGATGCTGTGGGGAACAGGTATTAGCTTCACTCCTTAACAAGTGGCAGTTCCTGCAGTGTTCTCCTCTAACTTATTTTAGCAGGTACAGATGTGTTACCAAGGACACAATGGCACTGCAACACACAAGAGAAAGACAGATATGGCTTTCTTTGGTTTGGGTTTCCTACTTCACCCCCATAAGAATGTCAGATTTTGCAGAAGTTTACTTAATACCATCTAGACATTCTTTAATAACAGACCACATCTGAGATACTGGTACTGTTTGGAGTGCTGTAGTATATGCAAACACGAGAAAGAAATAATGTATTCAAATATGCAACATAAGACTTAATGTAACTTCTGCTTATAAAGTTAGCCATCCCTCTGAAAAAATTTCCATTGTGAGCAGGTGGTGAAATTCTGACAGGTCCTTTTTTCCCTCGCCATGAAAAATAGGAGGCCAAATTATGATTCAGATGGGTGGGGGAAAACAGCTACATTGCAAAATAGACTTAGTATAACCAGCTGGTCTCTGCAGAAAAAATTCTTTAGCTTTCAATGGTATGTTGGGACCCATTTATTCCACCATATCCAGAATCAGAAAGAAGGTGTTGGAAAATCAGAAAGCTGTGGAGGGGGCACATAATGTGCCTATGCAGAATGTAAATATGTGCACTGACAGGACACTCGTAATCTTGTAACATCTTTTGCATGAAAAAATAAGTGAAATTGGTAGTGTTGTCTGCAGCTTCATACCATGTCTCTGTCTGAACGACATATTGTGGATTAATTCCTTTACTGTCCCTAGCTCTCACAGACAACATACATTGTTTGATCAGTCAGTGACCGTAAAAAACCCACACAATGGTAGGTAAAAGGTCACCTCTGTTAATGAAAAACCAAATTACTCCCCCTCACAGGATTCTGAGGAGATATAAAACCCATTTAGCAGTGGCATTTTAAAGACAAGACAGGGGGATGGGTGTGAGGTCTAGGGAGCTACAGACTTCAAGAATCAAGTTTCATGCTCTGTTCCAGATCCCACAGATCCTCAGAAATCTTCGCTGAAACTTTTCTGAGGTTTTCCTGGAGCACTCAAAAAGCAAGTATGCGGAAACAAGTTCATATTTCTTCTAACTGCCTCAGAAATAAAAAAATACAACACAAACCTGAAACCTGAAAGGTGAGCTTTGACTCCACTGGAAGGCAATCCAGACCCTGAAGTTACACAGGTAGTTGCCTTCAGTACATCAAAAATGAAGACCTTATCCTCTTCGAAACAGCACAGGTTTTGTGATGATATTATTATCATGAACAATATAACTGTAATTCAAAAAAGGTCTATCCCTTACCAAAATATTTCTATAGGTAAAACTCATAGAGTGAGAAGAATTATGAGGCATCCATTTACTGGGAGAATTTAAGATGCAAGCATCCAGACCAATGAAAAACAACCAAGTCTGTCAGACACACTAACCCAAGTGTCCAATTGATTATCACCTATTTTAGCTAAGAAACTCAGCTGATTTTGTCTGAAATATTTAAGTTTTGCTCATATTTCTCACTTTAGAGAAAGCAGATCAGAGAGTTCCAGTTCGCACTACAAGTAAAAAGAGGCCTGCAACTCCTAACATGAAAACATTGAAAAGTGCCTGTGTACAAATACTTCTTACACTGGAGCACCATCCTCAAAAGAGGATTTTGGTTCATATTTTTTACTCTTCTTGGTTCTTCCCTCCCTGCACTAGGTTAAGGAAATAGACACTGCTGTTGTAATGTTTCCTAACACAATGATGGGGCTTACACCACTAAAGGGCAGGATCACCCTCTGTCTGGTATTGATTTTAACATCAGTATCATTTCTGCCCACAGATGTATTTGGGGTGAAGAGACTGGCCTCCTTGGCAAACAGCTGGCCAAATCTTGAACAGCAGCCCTGACCCCCACAGACTCACAGAAAATAAACTGATGTTAACACAGTGTGGGAGCACTGAGTTGCTTTTCTTCCACAGAGCTCTTTAATTTCCTGTAACTTGCAATCACATAGTTCTGTGAACAACTTTTCACAGAACTTCACTGTGCCAAAATTTCTAGGAACAGGGTTTTTTAAACTACTTCTGCGTTCACAGAGGTATCTATCTTGTCAGTTCCATGTGAACTCTGGCAATTTAACTAGCAGGAATTCTAAAGAGTACAACATATACAGATGCTCAATATCTGCTAATGAAAGCACACTAATACTTTTATGATTCTGTCCAAACCAAAACTCTGGGTGCATGAGAAAAAGTACAGACAAGCCAAATCTACACGCCTGCTTTAACCAGCTGAAGGAGTTGAATGGGTTGCAAACTAGCTGAAGATGAGTTTAGATCAAAGTGGCAATGGTCTAGTGAGAACTAGGAATGAAGACCAGCACCTGTGCAGGATGAACCAAAATGATATAAAAGAACACTAATTCTCCTGAATCAATTCCAGAAGAAGTCTGAAGTATATTAAATGTCAAATAAAGCAAGTTCCAACAGTCAAAACACAGAAAGTCAATATTTTAGTACCATAAAAAAAAAAAATTCACCTGTTTTAGGCCATAAAGCATTGACAGCAACTTCTCCTCTAAATTCTTCTGCCATTCCCAAGACACACATGGACATCCCATATTTAGAAATGGTATAAGCTAAGACAAGAAGTGTAAAAAAGATAAAAGTTTACACTCTATCAATATAACTATCAAGGAAAGGTAAAAAAGGTAATAGATTCATAAGGAAAAAGAAGGTTTTTGAGACAAAACAGTACCTTCCTAGAGTCAGAATCTCTCCCTTCTTTCTGCCACCCACTGTCAGATATAGACTGTAGACTGTCATCTTTTCACTACAATAAAATGAGAGCTACACACATTTTGCCAACAATAATGACTGAAGCCTGGCTGTATGGTGTTTTTGTCATGCTTTTCATACACAGAACACTGACAAGAGTGCTCGATTTTTTCATGAGGCCTAAGGCATGCAAGCTGTTAATGACCAAACTATATCCTATAGAAAACAAAAAAGGCAGGGAGCAGGAATTTTAAATCATTGTCATCTATCTACTTGGAGAAGTGAAACTTTTTCTGGGAAAGAACTGGAACTTCCTGGAGTTTAATATGACAAGTGTCCAAAATGGAAAGTTTTTCCACAGTTTTGAAATGAGCAACACTAACCTCAAGATAACATGGAGTTCCTTTCCCACCTCAAAACTAATTTCCATATTAAAAGTCAACATGGAGCTTTATCCATAGTAAAACAAACGTGAGGCTGAATCAGTAAGAAAACAGATTTTGGGTTTCAGTCTCTATTTGGAGCAGAAGATTTTCTGTAGTCTTAACAATTCCCATGAAAAAGCACAGACTCTTACCTTGAAAACATAAAGAATATATGAGGTCATGAAACCTGCGCTACATTTTCCCACAAAACAATTTCTTCCAGTGCCAGTCTGTATACAGCGCTAAAGATACAAGATCCGGCACTCCTGCACATTTCACCAGCTGCTTACATGGTTCTCAAAAAATAGCAACAAAGGCTCTGAATGCTACTCACCACAATGATTTTTGAACCATATGGGATTCAGATTCATAGGTGGACTAAGGTTCAGGATATGGGGGTTCTTACTCTTCCTCAAGTGGGGAAGGCATGCTTTAGATCTGAAAGATTGATTCAGATATATCAGTCTCCTCTTATTTTATGGACCACCTATAATTACAGTAAAAACCATACTAGCAGACCAGTACTTTCATGACAGTAAAAGACTTAGCTGAGACCCTCTTCTTGTATCAAGTACTTAACTGATATAAAGAACAACAAAAAAATATCTGTTCCAGATCACTTATCTCAGGCCTAGCATTCATTCATGCAAACTGACCACATACTCCAAACAGTGCATCAGCATCAACTGACGCTGATTTTCCAGATGGTCAGAAACCATAAATCTCCTTGTAATAGTTCTGGTAGAAGCAACAAAACACTATGAGGCAATAAGCAAAATTAACTGTGCAGAGCATCATTTAGTAACAAATACATTGTCTTTTGAACCCATACCTACTTGTTCTTTAAAACCAGGTTGAAGACATACTATTGCAGAGTGGAACGCTATTACGAATATTCCAGGCAAAACTGAAAATCCGTTCTCTGCTTAGAGAATTCTCCTTTGAATTTACACATCTGTAAATCATAACTTTTACTTTATAGAAACTGTCACATGACTTCATTTCTAGCACTAGGATACATGTTTGCATTTGATCTCTGCTTGAGAATTTTTAATCAAGCTTCATAAGGCAAAGTTTGACCAGCAGTTCCATACTCAGCCACCCTGGTCTCTTGCCTTCCTTGCCTGATTCCTTTCACCTGGAAAGCTCATCCATTCAGAGATTTATCCAGGTGAAATCCCACATGACTGGAAAAAGGGAAACATTGCATCTATCTTAAAAAAGGGTAGAAAGGAGGACTGGGAATTACTGACGTGTCAGTCTCACCTCTGCGCCTGGGAAACAGATCCTCCTAAAAGCTATGCTAAGGCACATGGAGGACAGGGAGGTGATTTGGGACAGCCAGCACGGCTTCACCAAGGACAAGTCTTGCCTGACCAACCTAGTGGCTTTCTATGGTGGAGCGACTACATCAGCGGACAAGGGAAGGGCTAGAGATGTCACTTATCTGGACTTCTCTAAAGCTTTACACATGGTTCCTCTTAACAGTCTTCTCTCTAAACTGGAGAGAAAAGGATTTGATGGGTGGACTGTTCAGTGGATAAGGAATTGGTTGGGTGGTCACGTCCAGGGGGTAGCGGTCAATGGCTCCGAGTCATGATGGACATCAGTGATGAGGGGTGTCCCTCCAGTTGGTATTGAGACCAGCACTATGCCATGGCTTCATTAATGACACAGACAAAGGGATCAAGTGCACCCTCAGCAAATTTGCTGACGACATCAAGCTCAGTGGTGCGGTTGCCACACCTGAAGGACAGGATGCCATACAGAGGGAGCTGGTCAAGCTCTAGAAGTGGGCCCATGGGAATCTCATGAACCTTAAAAAGATTGAGTGCAAGAAGCTGCACCTGGGCTAGGGCAATCCTAGGTATCAGCAAAGGCCAGGTGATGAACAAATTGAGAGCAGCCCTGCCAAGGAGGACTTGGGGTGCTGGTGGATGAGAGGCTGAACGTGACCCAGCAATGTGCACCTGCACTCCTGAAAGCCAGACATGTTCTGGGCTTCATAAAAGGTATGTGTCCAGCAGGCTGAGGGAGGGGATTCTGCCCCTCTGCTCTGCTCTGGTGAGTTCCCACCTGGAATGCTGCATCCAGCTCTGGGGCCCCCAACACAAGAAGGACATTGATCTGTTGAGGCAAGTCCAAAGGAGGGCCACCAAGATGATCAGAGGGAAGGAACATCAAGGACAGGCTGAGAGAGTTCAGGTTATTCAGCCTGGAGAAGAGAAGGCTCTGGGCTGATCTTACTGCAGACTTCCAGTACAGAAAGGGGCCTACAAGGAGGTTGGAGATCAGACTTTCCACAAGGGCATGGAGTGATAGAACTAGGAGGAATGGCTTTAAATTCAAAGCAGATGGGTTTAGATTAGATATTAGGAAGAAATACTTTACTGTGAAGGTGGTGAGGCACTGGAACAGGTTGCCTAAGAAGATGTAGATTCCCCATCCCTTGAAGTGTTCAAGGTCAGGCTGGATGGAGCTCTGAGCCTGGTCTAGTGGGAGATGTCACTGCCTGTGGTGGGGGCTTGGAACTACATGATCTTTAAGGTCCCTTCCAACTCAATATATTCTATGATTCAATGATTCCATGATTCTATGTCAACAAGTACACTCTGTAAGATGGTACATCTTCCCGACATCCTCCGCGGGGAAAAAAAATCCACGCCCCTTTTTTTTAACCATTGTAATTTTCTGAACATTACACTGAAAACAGATCTCTACAAATTACAGACAGAACCAAAATACAAAGCAAGGGGAAGAAAAGGCAGAAATGCTTGACTAGGTTTTCTTAATTGAGAGTTACAAAAGTAATGAAAAAGACCATTTCCCTTGAGAGGCATGAATCTTTCATACAGTCTTCCATTTGCAGCACACAGAACCTGCTTTTTGATCTTTTCAAGGCAGAATAGGACCAAAAGCAAAGATGACTTTAAGAATCTCCCATTAATTTGGAATACCTAGATGTAACACCAAGAAAATGATTGTCGCTAGTGGGTAGAGAGGAAGAGATGGAACTTGCCATTCGATACAGTGGAATCCATTCAGAGATTTATCCAAAGATACACATAGAGGATTTTATGGAATGTCAAACTCCAAACTCAATTTTCCTTTTTGAGCACAGAAGCACAGCCTATCAAAAGTATATGTCACCAAATGAAAGCACAGAGATGCCACTCTGAAAGCAGAGTCTTTCTTTCTTCCATCCTCTTTCTCTCTCCATGTTGAGCACGTCTCTCTAATTCAGAAAGCTGCTAGTTACGTGTTTTTACGCTATTTAAATAGCAAATTTGTTCACTTACTCTTAGCAAAATGACATTAATGCATATAATCATAATATCTGATAACCAGATTCATCTGCACAAAACCAGACACTATTCTAGACTGGAGGGTTGGACTAGATGACCTTTAAAGGTCCCTTCCAACCCAAACTATTCTATGATTCTGTGATAATACTTTGATAAGAAACCTTCTGATCACATCAGGCAACAATTTAATTTGAGAATCTGCATCATCCTAAGGGCTTTTTTCTTAAATTCTGTCAAAATCAAGGCCTTCTTTTTAAGACAGAGCTCTAAATGACTTCCTGTACCTGAAAAGATGATCCAACCCACTGAATCCACCCCCAAAAATGCGCAAAATAAGGACCAGAGAAATAGTGAAATCAAATCTTGGTTAATTTAAATAAATTATAGAACTGATAAGTCAAAAGTAGGTGGAGAATACTTTAGATCATTAAGTTAGATATCTTTAACATTTCTCTTTTAGCTATGGTATGTTATATAACGTCTCTAAAGATTAAAAGCTTATGAGGAGGAAACTGACAAATAAGATATTGCACCTGATATATGCAAAGATTTAGTCATTTTGCTTGAAATGAAAGAGCATCAGCATTTTGCAAAGCCAAGCTGGAGCTCCATTTGAAACAAACTAGTTTCTTCTTCCTACATGCATGGAGATGCTTGTGAACACTTAATGACTACAGTAATAAGGTTCCTGTTTACTTCAACTTGCAATTAATTCTTACAAATATTAATTTCAAACAGTTGACCAATAACGCTGTGAGCACATGTAGAATAATTACACTCCAACTCTAGTAGGTCAGCAATAAAACTACAAAATTTCTCAGAAAAACCGAGAAAAACATCATACATTCTGTTACAATTACTCCGATTCCTTCACTCAGCACTTACGTAAGGTAGGTTCCTCGTACATTGACATCCATCATAAGATTGACCTTCTTCGTTGCTGTTTCCAAAGTGCCAGTCAAAGAGATGGCGCTTGCATTGTTCACCAAAATGTCAATCCCTGGTTTAAAAATAAGTCGTTTCACATTAATATTTAAAGACGAAAAGCCCGAGTAAGGCAGCTGTTCTTTTCTCTTTTTGTTTGAACAATATGCCTGTTCATGTCTCCCCCACGCTATTAACATACCTCCAAAAGTCTTCACAGCTTTCTCCACGGCACTAATAATTTGCTCTTCTTCCCTCACATTAACAACGCAGGGCAAAGCCTTTCCTCCAGCCGCTTCAACTGTACAATTAAAAAATTAAACATTTACAAATTTGCTCTCAGATGGCACAAATAACACGACCCTTCTGAGAATCTCTGATGCAACAACATGCTTCAAGAAGGCACTGAAAATCATACTCTCAAATTGTGACCTCTTTATGTGTTTTATAAAGAACAGGGAAGCCAAAATCAAATCTTAACACTGTGAATGTGTATTTCATACATCTCAAGTAACATGGCATTTTTACATTTATATACACATACATCTTCATTACAGTAACATTACAGCATTCCTGAGAGGCCAGAGAAGCACTAAGCTTATTTAAGTAAAGGTAAACTGGAATATCTATGCATTTTTCCATTCAGGTATGACAATTAAGCTTACACCCAGCCTAGCACCTGAAACCGACTTTCATTTGTTAAAACTCACTTTCTTCTGCAGCGGTGTAGATAGTCCCTGGAAGAGTAGGATGGGGCTCAGCTGTCTTGGCAGCTATCACAATGTTTGCACCATCCTTAGCAGCTTTCAAAGCAATGGCTTTGCCAATGCCTCGACTTGCGCCTGTGATGAAGAGGGTGCATCCTGCCAGTTTCCTGAAGGTGAAGGGGTAAGTGGAGGGTAAAGAGGAGAACAAAGAAAAAGGTGTAAATCATTGACTTTTATCACTCTCTAAGCGAAAAAGTAATTAGCGACGTCTCTCAACCAGACAAATGCCCTCATCATTTTACTAACAAAACAGCCTTCAAGCACAAAAGGGATGGCTACAGCTACAGCAAAGCAGCAGTGAACTAAGACCATTCCCCAAGTTTGCAAACATTATAAAGCAAGAAGGTTACACAGGTCACCCAGTTACATTTCTCCCTCTTTGTAAAATGATCCCACACACTGTTTACAACAGAGCTGCTGCATTCTCCAACAGTGGAAAAGGAGTAATTTGTAAAAACGAAATGCCAGTTTCTAAGGAGACAACACACCTACACAGATCTCTAATTTACTAGTCACAGTTCTCCATACAAAAAGAACTGCTGTCTCAACGTAGTATAAAGTTTCAAGGCCAGAACCACAATGCCATACATAAAAACTTTATTTTCAGAAATGGCAATTACTTCTCTTAAATCTTCTATGCTCAACAGTTTTTCAGTAACTGCATTTAATCCAGCGGGTCCTCCAAATGAACAGGTTCAACCAAAACCTCTGGAGAAACACGTTTTAGAATACAGGAAAGATGTCTGGCTGACACAATGTCACTGAATTTTTGAAAAGAGAAATATCAACTCCATTTTAAAGTATATTCAACAATAAAGTTTCTTAGACCACAGGTATTCCATATGAAGGAATGTGTGTTTCAGTGTTCTGCATAAAGCTCATGCTGCTTTTTGTAACTCTGCAGCAAAAGCAAGAGTTTTTAACTTCAGTTAGAGAATGCATAAAAACTGTGTAATGGTGACTTCACTTTTTGCTTCCATTACAAATATTACACACCAGCCTCCAAGCCTGCATTAGTTTTCCTTTCAGATTGGGCCAGACTTAGTACTGTTTCTGCACATCTGTTTTCAGATGTGGGTTTTTTCCCCTCTAAATCTGAGAACATCCGCCTCTTAAATGCTCTCTAGGAGAGCGTTTGCTTTCCAAAGGCAGAAAACGGAAATGGGGCAGAAAGGGCAAGTGATCTTCCCCTGCAAGGGGGAAGGCATCTATGGCATCCCAGGAAGTCAACAAAGTCCTGCAGATGCCATTTCAAAGAGCTTTCATCTGCAAAATTGAGTTCTAGAAAGGCACATGAAAAAAAAATATCTAAACAGCACAATGAATCATAAAAAACTGCTGCCAAGAGTCAAGTCACATGCACAATGAGTGAAGTTCGATTCTGCAATACAGTCAAACTGTAATACTCAGTCATGTAAGGCCAGAGTCCAACCAATGTGAAGTCTGCAGAATCCTCCTTAGTCAGGGAAGAGGTAAATGGGGTCCAGCAAGAGGCAACTTTAGAGGAGAAAGAAGCTGAGGAGAGCTGATGGGGCTTTAAGCCCTGCCAAGGACAAGACTGGTCCATTCAGAAAGACAAGCAGATGTACCAGAAGACCAGCATGGCTTTGCAGGGAATGTGTAAATCAGCTCCCATAAACATAAGTATGATACAGATAATGGGATTAAAGCCAGGTCACAAAGAAGGAAACAGAAACATTACCAGCCATATTGGGGTGGTGCCAGGAAAACCAAAGTTCACTTGCAGCTGAGATTTGTGAAAGACACAGGGACTCCTCCTGCTACACTGGCAGTAAAAGCAGGCCCTTTGCTCAATGGAACGGGTGAATGCAAGGCTTTCAACATCCTCTGTCACAATATTTTTGCTTTGTATTTAAGATATGATGATATGATCTGCATGGGTGCACAAACTAGTAAAAAACTAGCTGGTTGGTCAGGCTTAGAGGTGGTGGTTTGTTAAGTCATACTTGTAAGACTTTGGGTTTATTTCTTAGTTCGCTTAGCAGCCCAACAGTTTACAAGTTTATAAAGCATGTGCCTGTCCAAAATTGTTTACGACCTGTATTGTGAAGGTTGCATATGTATTGTTTCCATCACGGCTGAATTCTGGAAATAAGACAGAAAATGTCGAATTCATCTCTGTGCCCTGCAGTCCTGGGGATCTTGAAAGACAATAAGATAGGTTTCTTTCCCACAAGAAATGACTGGTAACGCAGAAACCTGCAGGTCACATCAGGGACACTGTTTAGAGCTCACGTAGACCCTAGGATTTTAATGAATAATCCTGTTTATAACATACAGGAACAAATAATAACAATTTACCTTCCTAGCTGTTAGCAGTGTTGGCCTCTGAAAGGCTAAAAGGCAGAAAAGATCCTATATTGGAAAAAAATTTGACTGCCAGGTAAGCAGGTACTGGTTTGGCACAAGACAGGGAAGAATAGTTTTACACGTATAAAGTTACAGATACACAGCCGAATCTAGGTTAAAACCCTCCAGTAACTATTTCCACTGCAAAACGCGCCGCTCAAGGGCACTGGCACGAAGCGCTCGCCCCGAGGGTCCCGGGCACCCTCGGCCGGCACAGCCCCCGGGCTGCTCCCCACGGCCACCGGGACACGGCGTCCTGCGCTACCACCGCCCGCTCCCGGCTGGCCCCGCACCGCGGGCAGGGCAGCACCGCGCACGGGAGCGTCCCGCGAGCCCCCGCGGCGGCCCCAGCCCAGCCCAGCCCGCCCCGAGGGCCCTGCGGCGGGCGAGCAGCCGCGGCTGTGCCGGGGCGTCCCCCCGGCCCGGCCCTGCGGAGCGGGGCGCGGGGCCCGGGCCGGACGGGGCACCTTACCCGGTGTTGGGCAGCATGGCGGCGGCGGAGATCCCGCGGGCCGCGCAGCCGCCGCGCCTCATCGGGGCGGAGCGGCCCGGCCGGGGCGGGGGCAGCGCCGCGGACCCCAGCGAGGAGCCGCCGGACCGGCCGCCCGAGGCTGAGGAGGGAGCGGGGGTGGCGTGGTCGCGGGGTGCGAGCCAACCTGGGTGTGGAGCGGGCCTATGTGGGATGAAAGGTTGAATCGGGAGGTTTCCCTCATTCTTTCGTTCTCTGCCGGGTGTACGAAACACACGCTTTGGCCTGAACTGTCTTGCAGGTCCCACTCAAATCAGTGGAGGCTTTGCTGCCATCCCACTTTCTGGAGTGCTGTGTCCAGTTCTGGCTCCTCAGGACAAGAAAGAGGGCCCAGCGGAGGGCAACAAAGATGATGAGGGGTCTGGAGTATCTCTCTTAAGAGGAGAGGCTGCGGGAGCTGGGTCTGTTTAGTCTGCAGAATACTGAGAGGGGATCTCATTAACGCATATAAATATCTCAAAGGTGGGTGCCAAGAGGATGGTGTCTGACTCTTTTCAGTGGTGCCCAGCAACAGGATGAGGAGTAATGGCCATAAACTAAAACAGAAGAAGTTTCACCTCAACATGAGGAAGAACTTATTTGAGTGTGGTAGAGCATGGGAACAGGCTGCTCTGGGGGGGATCCTGGAGTCCTCCTCTGTGTAGAAATTCAAAACCCATTCCTGTGTCACCTACTGTAGGTGACCCTGGCTTGGCATGGTGATTGGACTAGATCAGAGGTCCCTTCCAACCCTAATGAGGGCTTTCAGTAGTTTTCCAGTGCCTGCATGTTAGGCCTGCAAGTGGTGGGCAGCAGGGGAGCACAGGTTTACCACGGGCTGAGCACTCCTGCATCTGTGCTTGCAGTCCAGTGCTCTGCATCTCTACAAAGCAGAAACCCACAGTCCTGCAGTGGAGGATCCCCCCACTCCCCAAATTGCCCTTCCCTCTGACAGTACAGCATTCATCCTGGAGCAGAGCTGGCCGCCGACCACCCAGCTACTCACAGGAGAACGTGGTAGGCCCTTCTTTTTCAAGAGCTACTTCTTTAACTCCGTGGGACCAGGTATTTTGCCCATCAGCCTTTTCACTTACGCAAACTCAGGCAACTGCTGCCTGAGTATCTGTGTTGTGTTTTAGCAAAGCCTCCCTGGCTGCCACGGCAGACCCGTCTCTGCTGGAGCCTCCATCTGCCAGCTGCTTCTCACTTCCCAGCCTTCACCTGTGGCTGAGCTGAGTTCACCTGAGGAAGGTGATGAGGAGATGCAGCTGTGGAGAAGGAGGTGGCAAGGTCCTGGTGAGCACTGTCAGCTGGGCCCTGATTGTCCTCAAGACAGTGAGGAGATCTTTCAGGCCAGCAATTGGCTCTGAACACACCATGTGTCCTCCAGATGACAATCCCAACAAACTTGCTGCCTCCCTTCCAGCCCTCTGTGTTTTTGAGTGGCATTTGATGTTTTATCATCATTCAAGTCTTAAAACATTGCTTTTGATGAATATATCTCAGATATAGAAATAGGTAGAAACATGACATTTTTCAGTTGGAAAGGGAGGAAACTGAGGAAAACCACTTGTGCAAGATCATATAGTACACCAGGGGCGTAGATCACTGGTATTTCCATCCCATGGTCAGCATGATATTGTTTCCTCCATTCATTAACAAATGTGCACCCTAATGAATACTGTTGTTATTTCAACATACTAAGAAGAGAATTTTTAGCAGGAGAATTTTTAGCAGAAGAATCATTATATTTAAAATATTCCCCTTAAACTCACCACTATTTGATTGGAATATTAAATAACATTTGGATATTTAACAACAACAGTTAAGGACACTTATGAGTATACTGTTAGTAGAAGGAATTCACAAATTTGGCACAAAATCTAAGAATTTATTAGAAATGAGTAAGGACTGTAGAGGAGAGTTGAGGTGAGTTCTAAGTGGGGGTTTTTTCCATTTTTTAGTAACAAAATAGTTACATAGTTAAATTAAATGATAATTAATTAAATTGGTTGCAATTCCCTAACTCATAACTTTTTTTTTGTTGTCCAGAACAATGTCTATATTACTATATATCAGCTAATGACATGGTTTCCTATCTTCAAATATTTTTCTTTGCAGATTTACGAGGTTTCTAGTTTCAATGATAGCAGTGAAGGTAGATAGATGTGGTGGGAAAAGCACTGTATGTACAAGTTGATCAATTCTGGTGATAATGAATGCCACTTGGATTTCAAGTTGGTTGGTTTGTTTTTTCTCCCAAGAACTTGGACTTCATTCAAGCTACTTGACAAAAGCCCTTTTCTCTCATTTTGGAGGGTGAGATTTATGGAAGTGGCTGCAGAGCCTCTGTATTCAAAGCTAGTGAAAAAATGTTACCTTCTGCAGGACTTTGAAACCTTCGTGATTTATAATCAGTGCCTTGTTTTGAAGAATCCTTTTTATGCTGAAGGTCACAGGTAAATATTGCTGGAAAAAGCAATAAAAATATTTTTAAAAGGCAATTAAAAAAATTTAAAGACGAATAAAAGTAAATATTGCTGGAAAAAGAAATCAAATGGAAAATAGCACATTTTGTAGGAGTGTCATATGATCTGTCTTGCTAAGTTATACCAGAAACAGTCTGATGAAGCATGAAATTTGCATGGTTTACAGACCTAACTATTTTTTGATACTGTAGGCACCTAATAGACTTTCAACAGCATTTTGTAGGCTGTTCACTTTGATTTGCTTCATAAATTGCAAAAGCTGTCCATTATTGTTAAATGTGCATGTTCACTGTGGTAAAGTAGAATGCTGATCAAATTGATGTCTTTAAACTGAATTCTTTGTGTTTTAAGTAGAATTCTTTGTATCTTTAAGCAGAATTCACTGTCCCTGTCCCTTCCTTTGATCTCTGTTGCAGATGGAACCCGATAGCATCATTCTCACCTTTAACCCCTCTTTTGAGTGTAAAAAGATGCTATCAGTTGTGTTAAGCAGATGTCCCTTGATGTTTTTGTTTTACAACCAGTTTGGCAATTGTCTAAGATGATGTCTTCTTTGGCACTCAACCTGGGGTTCTGTGAGCGCTGAACTGAACTTTGCTGGAAACTGAATATAGGGTACCTCACCAAACAACCATTAGAGAAAACCAGAGATGCTGAAGAGGAACCCACACCTCCTCACAGGCAGTGGCACACCTTGTGCAAGCTAAACAATTATGCAATAGCTAGGTGGTAACTATGTATTAAATAAGTGGGTTTATGTAGATTTGTGTGTAAATTCTCTCACTTTTCACTCCTTGGTGTATTTGATTTGTGGAAAACTTCCACCTTGCACCCTGATCGGAATAAACAATGTCTCCTTTCTAAACATGGCTGTTTGTCCATATCTAGAGAGTTCCAAAAATTGGCAACAAAAGCAGTAAATCGATTAACAGCTTAGAAGCCTTTGCAGAAGAATTAAATTCTTGCAGGTGCTGCCCAAGCATTGAAAGAGGAGAAGACAGAATCTGCTCCAGCCAAGCCATCCGGGCCTGTTGCAGAAACATTCAGAGTTATTCAGGGGGCCATGACGGAAGAGAACGTGAGAAGTACTCAGGGTGTCTTTCAGTTTGAATTATCTGGTAAGAGCATCAAATGTGAAACCTTCCCTAGCAAAAGGCACTCAGTGATTTCAAACAGAAGCACTCACCTTTTCAAGCGGATGCCGAAACAGAGCAGCTCCTCTCCTGTTCTGCTGTGATGCTCCTTCTCAGGACCTCGAGCAGGCACAGGGAGCTGCTGCCACTCCCGCCGTAGGCGGAGCCTTTGTCACTTTGTCGCTGCCCTCCCTCACAGGGTTGGCGTGAGGACAGGCAGGGGTGCTCCCAGGGTCTCCTTGAAACACCCGCTGCCTCCGATCTGTGAGCGAAGGGCAGCCTTTGGGCTCTCCTGCCCGTGTCCCCACATGGGCACGTGGGGCTGGGGTCACCTGCCAGGGGTTGGCTTTGGCTGCCCCCAAAGGGGAGGAGGGCAGAGCGCCTTTGCTGCCTTTGCTGCCTCGTCACCTCTCTTCATTCTCTGTGCAGGTGACGGTGGAGGCACGTGGTATATCGACCTGAAGAACAAGGGTGGGAGCACTGGCTTTGGAAAGCCCCCTGGGACAGCTGATGTGGTTATGAGCATGTCGAGTGCTGACTTTGTGAAAATGTTCACAGGTGAGGGACAAAGGCCTTTGTCAGACCGGTGCCCAGAAAACCTTCTGCTGATGGGGGAGGAGACTGGCATCTCGCTTTCTGATCTGGGATGGAGGAGCTTTCAGCTTTTTGTGGCTCAGGAGAAAGTACAGGCCAGAAGTGCTTGCATTTTTCTGGACTCCTGTGTTTTGTGAACAGGAAGAGAACAAAAGCTTACTCTTCTTTTGTTAACCAGCTATTGACATTTTAGCAGCCAGCGTAGCTTCAGAAAGAATCCAGTCAATGTGTTGTATTTGTGTTCTGCCCAGCTCTAAGCAGTGTTTCCTGAATGTGCACTGCTTTTACAGGAGGACTTGGTAGGAAAATAACCTGATTTCTTTCATCTCCCCTGAGACATCTGAGTTATATGGTCTTTTCTCCATTAAAATCAGTCATAATCTAATAATTTCCCTAAGTAATAGGATACAACTAGCCCTCTTACAGAGTGTTTTCTGGCTCCAGAAAAGGTAGGTATTGGTGAAGTTCTGTTGGACAAGAGGCAGTATCAGAACTTTCACAATGTTAAATTGCTACTTTTCTTTGTGTGATTTTCGCATTTATCACTATTCAAAACAGTTCTGAACCTTCTTTAGCAAGCTTCAAAATGAAGTCAGAAGAGAACAGATTATTCATGAAAAAAGAAGTTATCCATTAAGTTAATCATTATAATCAAGACCTCAAAATACTTCTACAAATGAACTGGAAAAGTAAATTCTATTTTAATTAATCAGCCTCATCATTTTCAGCAAAGGGTTTTAATATTGTGAAATATAGATAGATAGATAAATACATTGTTAGACTGAGAGATTTTAATTGTATGAGATTTAATTGCAGTGTCTGATTTTTACCACATGGATAAAACTATGAAGTATATTCCAAAGCAGAATTTCTAAAGAACTTGAAGATCTTACTCTAAAGATATTACTGTTTCCTCTGCACAGCCTGTATCCAGGTCCTTTCCATTTTCTAATGATTCCTTTTCTCTTTTTAGATAAGCTAAAGCCATTCATAGCTTTCATGTCATGAAATTCTAGTGTTAATGGTGACACAGTTCTACCGTCAAGTCTGCCACAGATAAATTTTGAACACTAGCAGAAATACTGGCCTTTCATATATAACTACAATGCTTTTTTAAAGTGCCAGTCGTCATTTCTTTTTTATGAACTACAAGTATTCAATAGATTTTATGATTTTTAGAGAAGTTACAACTCAGTTTGAATATAATATCCAACAGCGAACATTTTTAATAACTTGCTGTAATGATTAAAATAAAAACTATGTCCCAAAATTCTGATGTTTCAAGCTTATAGGAACTGACCACTCCTATCAGATGTTATTAAAAAAGGCTGATGATTTCAAGCTATTGGAAAACACAGTGTATGTGCTTGCATGAAAAATATGGCTACATATATTTTATTTCTTTAGGGAGCCACCTTGAAATACTTGAAATACATCTTTTGAAATCTACTGATTCTAGAAAACATTTTTCAAGTGAACATATATATTCAAAGTACATTTTCAAATGCCGTCCTGTGACACTTAAAAAACTGAGGCAGATGAAAGAACTTGGGTATCGGGAGCAACCTTGTTTAATTTCATACCTATTTCATAAGCAATCCCATGTCTTTGCAATTTTCCTTTCTGTGCAACTTTTCTGCCAACGAATTTTTGTTTTTCAGGGTTACTGGGGTGGAGGGGAAAGGTGTGCAGCATCCAGTACAACATTAACTGTGTCCTGGCACCTGAAGACAGAATGTGTTTATTTGCTTCCCTGCCTATGTGGGTAGTTAATGGTGCATGTGCTTCTTGTATAGTCAGTAATACTGCTCTTGCATAACATGTTTGATAACTGTAGTGTCATTTGGCGAGGTACTGTGATGCCTGTGACACCTAGAGAAAAGCGTCATCTTCAGAAGAAAAGTGCTTTTGTTTCAGAAGGATCCAGAGCAACACAACCTGCCTCCAACTGGCCACTGTGTTTCTTCTCTCTCTAACATATCAGTAGTGGTGCTTGCATGGTGGAGGAGTGGGAGCTCACCAGGCTCAGAATCTTTAGAATAAGTGGTGTGATGGCTGTGCCTCGCCATGGGTACTGTGGGACCCAGTGATCCAGAGTGTTAGGGATATTTGATCCTTGCATTACAAATTTTCATATTATGCCATTTCTGGAGTTTTCACTGTAAAAAAAGACATGACTGAAAAATGAGCCAGTCCACTGTGCACTGTGAGGACAAGACCTAGAATGGGTGCTACAGTAGAGGAATTACTGCAGGTATTCACATTCTGCAGAGGATTTTTACATGAGGTCAAAACTGTGTTGCTTTTTAATCCATTGCTCACTTCACAGCTTTTGAAGCCCATAAAAATGAAGTGGCTAAGCAAACTGTGATTGTTTTGCTACTGTGGGTAACTTTTTCTGCATGATGGTAAAGCTACAGGTTTTCTGGGTGATGATAAAGGAACAGAACAGCTCCAGGACGTATGTAAGGCACAGACACGATCTGCTTGCTGCTGACGGTAGTGAGCAGGACTGATGGCTCATCCATCACACTGGAAGGAGATGTAAACTCATGCCTCGTGTTCTCAAGGGCTTTGTTTCGATGTCTTTTCTCCCACGTCTTCAGCACAGTTCCGCTCCTCCAGCGGAGTTTAGAGAGGCGCCGGGACCGACGGAGCGGCCGCTGCCAGCAGAGGGAGCAGGCAGCCCACTGCAGAGCGTTGCCTTTGGACACCCAGCGCTTCCGAGTGCTGCCAGCGTTGCGCAGGCATCCTAAAGGGCCAAACTCGCCAAAGTGCAGCAATATCTTTTCTGCTCAAAGCAGGGGTCAAGTGTGGGATAGGGTAGGATACGCAGATTTGCGGCAGCATCAAAATCTGCGTCTGTGCCTTGCAGCCTCTCATCTCCCTACCCCTGCTTTTGGTACAGTCCCTGCTCCAGAAGAGAGAGGTTGTACTTCTAGGTGACAGAGCACTAGGACTTGTCATTCTTATCTCCCCCACTAAAATAATCAGCGAGGGTGTAATGCTTTGTTGTCAGGGACAGCCTTGGTTTGCAAGAATATTGGCCTGGATGCTTAAAACTTTGACAAAAATTAAACCCACTGAATCTCAGTCCATATAATGGAGTGTTGCCTAATCTTAGTTCTGTGCAGCATTCTATCCTGGAACAAGATGTTGCTTTATATAACAAAGCTAAGCTTTAACTAACTAAATATAATTAGCTCAAGCAATAATACATAGAGTCAGTATTTTTTACTGGGGGGGACTATAGCTCTGCTTCCCTCTGTTTCCATAAGGGGCTAAGACCTTGCCAACTATATAATCACTGTATCATCACACCTCTTGAGGCAGGTTTACCTGTTTTATCAGTGAGGTCCACACATCAAGTTGGAGTTACCATAAGGAAAATAAATGGAAAGAGAAGGAGGTGCCTGACCAGTAGCCAGCCAAGAAGTGAAGCAATGTGGCCCCAAGAAGAGTGTCCTTTCCAAAGCCTGCTAGCAGTAAGGATGAGGAAGATGTCTATAGTTATTCTTTTCAGGCTTTTTCCTCTTTTAACTCTGTGCTTGGTATTAGGACCTAGCCAAGCTACCTCTGGGTTGTTCCTGTATGTGATGCTGTCAGTGCTGACGAGATCACATTTAATCAGTCACAGGTGGTGCACGTCAGTCACTCCACTTTGTGCATATTTATGGCTGGTAATACTTATTGAATATTTACCTGATTATTATATACTTTTCTATTTGCTAACTCTTATTTTTCCCCTAACATAACCTAAAGTTACAAACCAGATATGAAACACAGGGGAAAGAAATGGTGGATTCTCAGACTATCAGCAGTTGCTTTCTATGAGAACCTATTAGAATACTGAGGTTTGCAAGTGGAAGGCCATGAGGATAATATCACAAAAGCAATAGCACAGGAAGGAGAAGGGAAAAAGACTGACACAGCAATTCAGGTGGAAGGCTGCAGGGCTGCAAGTGAAAGGCAAACTATGAAGGGTGCATGGGAGGCCCTTGGTGCAAAGGTGAAGGCACTTATACTTGTCTTTATGCAGCAGTTGATGTGTCTGGCGTTTGCTGCTCAGTGCTAAAGGAGTGTTTATGCAATGAAATTGTGATCACAAGGTTGGTCTCAGAGGCCACATTAGAACTTCATAACCAAGGCAGCAGGAAAGTGCACACAGTGTTTCTGCGTGGCTCAAGCTCTATGGTTAAGCTCAAGTTCTATGATTAAGCTCACCAGAAAGTGAAGCAAGAAAGAAAAAGTGTGTTCTGTTAAATTTCTTGAATGGTGATTTTAGGCTTATTTCCCTGTTCTCACTCTCTCCCACGGATAGGAATCACACGGCATGAGCAACAGCTCTGAAAATATACCTTTCAATCCATGGTTAAAGCTTTAGCAGGGTGAGGGATAAATATCATATCATCATTATCTTCAGTCGTTATCTTTGTCCTAATGGAGTGTGAGTATGTGTGAGATGTGGTCATCATGGCTAGGCTTCGCGAACGAAGATTTGGGAAGGCTCTATCCACATTTGTTACAGGCACGCTGGTGGCTTATGAGGCCAATACAAGACAGACATATCCGATTGCAAAAGGCACAGCAGAAAGACTCCTTAGATGGTGTATTCTGCAAGACACGGTTCTTTCTGCGTTGCCTTTTCTCCTCGAGAGTGACCCTGCGTGTGTTCTCAAAGGAGACAGCAGCGTTATAGATGGTGTGTCTCCAGGCCTCCCAATTGGAGGCCAGAGTAGACCAGTTCTGTTGATCAATATGGCCAAGGCTGAGATGTTGTTTCAGGGAGTCCTTGTATCTTTTCTTCAGGGCTCCTCTCACGTGTGAGATGTGGTATTGGGTGAATAAATAACACAAAATCAGGGTATAGAGTTCTGGACTTTTTTTTACCTAGAAACATAATTAATACAATTCATAACATTTTGTCCAGAAGGATATTGTGAGCTCTTTCTTTATAAGGTAAGAGCTTACTATTTCTGCTAAATAATTAAATGTGATAAAAGAGAATTTTGTGATCCAGCCTTTACTGTAGCAGCAGAGTGTCTAGGTCACATCTATTCACTGAAACAGGTCTCTCAAACTTTGAAGTTTACCAGGCCAAAAATGGAGGGAACAAAAGAATAACATGGTTGCCTCATGTCGAGCAATGCAAGTGGGTGAAGAGCATGACCCAGTTATGTTTTAAAGCCATTCTCAGTGTTGTAAAATGCATTAGGGAGACCACAGGCTGAGACCAAAGCATCCTGGTTTCTTAGACATAGAAACAGCCACTGTCCTTATCCCATATACAGAAATTACACACTGTATGTTCTTACTGTCAGCCAAATTTCCACAGTGTAATTAGCACATCTTATAGTGGCAAGTCTCCTGCTTGCTTTCAAGTGGGTTTCTTGTTAAGCTGTTATTACATAATTTTACTATACTCATTATTCAGATTTTTGTTTAAATTGCTCTGCCTTACCTGTCATGCAACAGCTGAGACTTGCACACTGTTGCCACAAAAAAAACAGGTGTCTCTACTGTCATTATGGGAATTCCCAAAGCAAATGGGAAGTTGCTATCCAGTTAAAGAGGAAATGGAGAACTCCAGTCCTGTTTTTTTCTATCTCAACCCCCTCTTGCAGATGGCTGCTCTGGGGAAGCTGTACAGTGTATGCAGTTCATCAAGGCTTTCTATGACTCTGGTTTTTTATTTTGCAGGTTAGTCTTTTTTTGCCTGTGAGACATGTATGTTACTGACCTATGACATCACCTGAAACTGAAATAATTTTTAATACCGAAAGAAGATAATTCTTTACATTTTAAACAATTTTTGTAAGAGCTCTGTCTTCTAAGCAAACATTGAAGAAATCAGATTTTCTCTAATGCGGCAGTTCATATTCTGTCTGATTTACACACAGAGAGCATTGTCAACATCACTTGTTCTTCCATGAGAAAAAACAATGGAGACTGCTTAATTTGTGTAATAAAAGTGTAATGAGTACTGACAATTCGACTTCTTGGACTCTGTGAAGCCATAGCAGACAAGAGGAGCCTGGAAAGTAAACTAAATTAAAATCCACAGGAACTTAATACAAAACAGATTTGTATGGTGACAACTCTGAAAATGCACAGACTGGCTTCTCAGGGGTATTTCAAGCCTCTCATGAAGCAGCACAGAATTTTCACAAGCACCTTGGGGACTGATCTTCATATACCTTTTCCTGTGTTACTACTAATTTTGTTAGTTGCAGCCTGGTAACAAAACTAATAAAGGAAGGACCAGCAGCAAGTTAGTTCTGCTCTGATATGCTCACGTGTTACTATGAAATATCCTTGCGATGACCACCAGGACAGGATTTGTCTGCAGTGTTTCCTATGACATTGTGCACATGTGAAGGAAAGGTGGCTGCCAAATATGACAATCTGAGGTCTTGGTGGAG